AACACTCTACACCGTGCTCACTACTGATGTTTTTTCACCCCCAACCTAAAATCACATGACTTGCTCCAGGGACAGTTTCTCAACTCTGTTGGGTACAAGTCAATGGTATTTGAGTCAGTATGTGACATTCTTTCAAAAGTGGTTTTTAACATCACCAAGAGAAAAAGCAATGTAGAAGAAGTCAAGCACAGTGAGAGGCACATGAAAATGAAGTACAAAGCACAATTTTGGTATATACATAAAGAGTTAAGAATTAGAAGGAAAAGGCGTGGGTAATGTTGTACATGTATACATAACAGAATGTTCACTTATGAGAAACTTTTGGAAAAACAACTGATAATAGTTAGCTATTCTCCATTTTTCTACTTTTCCTTCTCCCAAATTCTAAAACACAGCCACGGGTAGTGAGAGTTTTAAAGTTTAAATAAGACTTTTCTACTTCTCTGTTTAACAGTTTTCATTTACTCCCTCTGTGCTTAGGAAACATTCTAAGTTCTTCTCAGTGCCTCCCAGACCCTACCCAATACTCTGTAGTCATCAAGACCATCTCTCCTGACCTTCCTTGTTCTCTTCAAACATGTCCAAATCCTTTTCCTTTAAGATTTTGTATCAGATCCTCACCTTACCAAGAATATGTTCCGTTTGACTCTGCACAGCTGTCCTGTCCTACTCCAGACACAGAATAGATATCTCTAAACATCTCTCCACAGTAGTTTATCTCCAGTTTATTCCTTTCATGGCATGCAACCACTGTCTTTCATGATATTCTCCTCTCACTTGTGTATAAATTTCTGCTTGTGTCATAAGAAATTGAGCTCTGTGATATGTACGAAAAGTCTCCTAAAACGCCACTTTATTTTTTTATAAGTTTTTTTTTTTTTCCCCTTTTTAATCGGTACCGGGGATCGAACTCATGACCGACCGCGCACTTGCAAGGCAGGTGTTTATGCCGCCACTGAGATAAATCCCCAGCCACTCCACTTTATTTTTTTGGTATTAGGGATCGAACTCACGATCTCACACTTGCCAACAGGCACTTTTGCAACTGGGCTAAAATCCCTGACTCCCTGAAATTCCACTTTAGAGCTTGAATCACAGGGCTAAAGGATTTAGCTCAATGGCATAAGGACTTGCCTAGCAATTGCAAGGTCGTGAGTTTGATCCCTAATACCAAAAAAAAAAAAAAAAAAAAAAAAAATCTTGGGATAGAAATATGAATCACTTGTAATAGAAAAATTTGACTTATAATGTGCACCTAATGCCTAACAGAGTTAGAGAACTCCATCCATGAAACGCTTACAGAAAAAAAAAAAATAAGACTGAGATTATGAAAGTAACAACTCATATTACTATGACTGGGGACTCAGTCTTTCCAGCTTGTACATCTTCCTGTTTTATTTATCCTCATTATGAAAATTTAGTTTATAAAAAAGATTTCTAAATATTAATTTAAAATGTAATACTTTCTAATAATAATAACAATAATTTCTAAAGTCATGTATCTGTGGCTTTTGGATGTTTTGATTTTATACATCTACAAATGTTGATTGAAAACATGGAGAATGTTTAAAGTAATTTACTGCAGTGATTTACTTTGGCATCACACTTCTTCACCATCTTGCTCCACATCTTTTGCTCTTTTGAGACAGGTTCTTACTACACTATGTAGTTCAGGCTAGCCTTGAACTTGTGGCAATCCTGCTGATCAGTCTCCTGAGTGATGGAGTACAAGTGTGGGCCACCAGGCCCAACCATTTTGCCCCTTCGGAAAGCAGTTCTTGAAATCTGCTTTTATTTTTCCAACACTGTGATAAAAATATTATGGAGAGTGTTGGTGCTGAGTACCATCCGAAGATTCAGTGAACATTTTGCTGCAGATTCTTAACACATGACAGTGTTTTCTAATAGTTTTTTAAATTAAGCACACTTAATTTAAAATAAAAATATTATACCTCATACAATGTTTAGATATAGAAGAGTTTCTAATTTCTACTAACTAAAGTCAGTTGCACTTATTAGAGCGACTTTGAAATACACTGAAATTTCTTTGAACTACAAATTTGCACTGACATTATTCAGTTATCTAATTCTATTTTTAAAGTACCAAGATATATCACTATCTCATTTTGTTATCTATTGAATATAACCAAGCTGCCTGCAAATTTGTTTTTCCATCATAAATAATAATTATAATGTGACATAATAAATCTATGCTCATTATCAGCACATATAGTGTCCTATCACTCAAGATTAATGTTTAAAAATCAGTATTTTAGAACTTGATAATAAGGCAAAATATTTTTCATAAAAATGCATCTCCAAAACCAAAGTAATCCCTTTAAATATGGAAGCAAAGTTTAACCTAGAACTCCCATAATTCCCACCTACTCACTAATACTTGAACATAGATTATTCTTTGTTTTCAGTGTATCTTTTATCCTCTTAATAAAACATATTTATATTATATGAGTTTCTTCCAAAAGTAAGGACTAATATTGCTTTACCTAATTTACTTATTTTAGGTTAAGAAAAGAAATTCTCCAAAAATGTTCATATTTTTCATAATTTTCAATGAAAAACAAACATCAGTGTCTATGTACTCCACAAAACCTACATGAAAATGAGTATATGTATCTATAGACATTATCAACTTTGATTACATTTACAATTTAAGAGTCATGTCCAATTTGTACATACCACAATGTTGCATTGCTACAACTCTCTGCAGTCTCATATAGCAGATACCAATTTTCTCTTATATTTAATTCCTTTGAAAACATGAATTCCAAATATATCACAACATCTACACAAGTAGCTTTTATTTTACATGTGAATGCTTGAGTGTCATCATTCAGCTAATTATTACCAGTATGTTTCACTGATGATTTTTGGTATAGACTCTAAATAGAAACACTCTAAATTTTAGCAGAGTTATTTGTAAAGGATGCACTGAGTGTTTGTACAATATTCTATTCAAATAAACTCTTAGGAGTTCAGCTATTTATTGAAATGGCAGTCTAAATGAGAGAGCCATTCTTGTCATCTTCTTAGGAGGCATTTACTTAGGTATTACTTTTGGTTCAGTGAACATTTTGCTGCTACGTAGAGATCGCATATTCTTATGGCTCTTCTTGTACAAATGTTCGTGAAAGAGAATTTAGGAAAAGTATTAGGGAAAATAAACAAAATATTACAAGGAAATAGCAGGGAACTTAACTGACACTTTATCAATTAGTTTCACTAAAACACAAATTATTAAACACAAGGGAGATTACAATTTTTTAAATATCCTTGTGTAATGCAAAAACAAATCTGTCTTGATTTTTAAAGTTGATTATACTTAAGATCTTAGTGGAAGAATAAATAAAGGACAGTTGGAAACTTCTAAGAATCCATTTTCCTTCTCACCCTTTAAAAGTAAGTTCAATATAAGCCTCCTATCTGTCTAAGAAAGATTAGAAATAAATTTTCTGATTCATACTGAATCAATATGTATATTGAAAAGCAACTCAAGGTTACAAAGTTTTGACCAAATCACAGGATTATAGACTAATACAACTTTTTCTCTGAGAACACTACTAGAAGTCAACTTTTGTAATACTCTTACTTTACAGTTAAGGGCAAAGAGACTCATAGCAAGTACTTAGGGAAACAAATTAAGATAATCTAAAACTAACCTCCTTCAAGTTTTTTTGTTTGTTTGTTTTTTTGATTTCTGAGGCCTTGACATGGGTCTCTGTTTAGCAATAGGTTAAACATAGGTGCTTAGAATATTGTTGAATAAATTTCTTATTTCCATTGTTTCAAGCAACTGAGCTAGATAGAAATATTATAGGCAGTCAGACAGGGGTAAGACCCTCAATGAAGACCAGATATCTTGCAATCTTTGAGGAGACAGACACTTCCTGCTGTGGGCCAGATCTCAAACCAAAAATCAAACAAATACAGCCACATCCTAATGACTGATATTCAAATAGCTCTCTATTGCCCGGAGCAAGCCAGGAGTCACCATCCTAACCCGCTACAGGAAGACTCACTATGCCCCTTGCTATGTGACTCCATTCCCCATTTGTTCCATATTTAATCAATTTTACCTGAGCAAGCAGTTATTCTTATTGGCTGGCCATAATGCTATCGCAACTCGTACTCACCTTGTGAGTTCCCGTTTTCTCCATCATAGACCTGTCTCACTTTGCAGTTTTACTCTATAAAGTCCCTAGGAAAAGCAGGCTTTGGCAACCTACTTGGGACCTCTTCTGTCTCTCCCTCTCCCAGACTGAAGCTTTCTTTCTCTCAATAAATAAATCCTGCTTTTAATCTATTGTTACTAAAATTCTTTCTTTGACTTGAGAGAACATGAACTCACACTGCACGTTTTAGTAGGTTGAGAATTTCTTTCCCTTATATTACAATCACAGTGTTTAATCTAGATATGATACTTTGTAAATGTCTGTGGGTAGATTAGTCCCATTATAAATCAAATTATACAACCTTTTAGAGATACTTTTTTGTCTTTAGGTATTACAAAATTGCTGGTATAATTTGAAGATATTTTAATTATTATTTAATTGTTAAAATCATAGCCAACACATTGCAAAGAATACTAAAATAGTTTCATTTTACTAGGGAAAACATTATTGTGATTCAGTTCAGGTTATGGAATGTGATTATATAATTGCAGTTAGGATTATGTTGGAATATGGAATTGGAGAGGATAATAATTCATTGAACAAGCTTGTATAAAGAAGAGAAGATGGTATAACCTTTGCAGTTTAATGATTACAAAACCCTATATTTCTAGAGGTATTACTTTGATAAATAACCCTAAAGCATGAGTCTGTCAAAAGTAGCCTATCCTAAAAATACAAAACAAAAGTACATGTTGGAAGGTAATTTCTATTGAAATGCTGAAGTTATTCTATAAACAATGAAATTATATCCATGAATTTTAATTTCAAGAGAAAAACTAACTCAGAAATAATCTTCTTTGTTTCTTTTAGTTTACAGGTTCTTTCTCCTGTTGAGAACATGAAAAATTGGAAAGAAGAATACAAGTATATTCAGATGAAATCAAGTAAAGAGCCTTCACAGAGAGTTTCTTAAAAGGCTGTCTATATTCAAATTGCCTGGGAGAAAACAAACAGTTGATCTAATCCTCTACAATGTGCACTTTAAGTAAAAAGACAGTTATAGACGACCACTTTACAGAAAGCACAAAATGGGCAAGAGTTTTAATTTCTAGTGTTGATAAACTTTGCTATGTTAAGATTATTGAAGAGTATCAACAAACAGTAGTAAAATTCCACTTCCAACATGGGATTTAGAAGGAAATGAATTCATGAGAATCAGATTTCCATTTGTGGTATAAGAATTATGGGGAGAGGACCTAATAAGACTGCTACTCTAGCTTCCAAAGTTAGGAAAAAGAATCTCTTGTGAGCTAAAACTTGTTTTTAAGTGGAATCTAATGCCAGAGGTGGGAATCATTATATCTTGATTTACTGATGTGCTTCAAAATAATTCAATTATTTTTCTCAGAATAAGAACCTAAATTTGGAATGTTGTAGAAATTAAACAACAGAAGAATGAGATTGATGCCACCGATAATTTTGTCTCCTGAATGATTCTGAAAAAAAGACATAATATGATAAAGCAACTATAAAACCTACTTGAAAAAATATAAGAAAAATGAGCTCATGGGTAATGAACATTACTTTTCAAAAAATTTTGAAGGAGGCCATCCAATAAATAAGTCAACTTTCAAAACCAGGCAATGAGTCTTCAACATCACATTAATATTGGTTTTAAAAACTTGAGTCATGGCATAAATCAAGCACCAAATCTATGATTGTGTCATAAAATTCTGAACTAATTCTGAGCTCATGACTATTGTTCTAAATCTTCACCAGTTTGTTTATGTTTGGCTACTGTTCTCTTAGGCAATCAAGAATATGATTCTATATCATGAATGGCATATAAGGCCTGCAGTACCTGGACATAGAAAAGGTTATCAATGTCTCAATAACTATTGCACAGACTCATTGATGCAGGTTATACAATTCATCTCTTGAAAAAATCCTTTGTGTGAAAATGAACACCAAATAACATTTTTTTCCCACAAATTTAGGGTCATCTGGTGGATGGTTAATAAACTCAGGAATGAAATACTTAAAAGGATACAGTGTTTTGTTTTCCATCATGGTAATCTATACTGTAAACTTTATCATTATTTTATCACAGTGAAATATAGCAATGGTAATTCTAACAATACCTATGGTGAAAAGTGCTATTTTTTAAGACCAATGTTAAGTTAGAGATTATTAGGTTAATGATTTAAATGGAGCAGTATACATTATCATGACTAAATGACAGAATTCTATAAATATGTGTAACAAGAAGCTTATTATAATTTTTTATCTCCTCATTTTCTCTGCACTTACAGTTTGATGTTATTAAAATATTTTCTATATTGTTTTATACAATGTTAAAATAATCACAGTACAACACAATGAATACAACAATCTTCAAGACTTCAAATATTTCCTGAAATGCTCTGAGCCTAAGAGGCATTCACAGACACAAAAGGTTTCAATATGGACCTTGGATTTTGGTAATGTTTTTGTTTAAATCTGCATTAATTCTATTTTTTCTAACTTTTCAATAGATACCTGCATCTTCTCAATTTTCTTTCCTAGCTCACTCTTTCCTTTTTAAATAAATGTTTATTGAGGGTCATGGCATTTTCCTTGTTGCCAGTGCAAGCCTGCTCAGTCTGAGCCTAACAGTCTCTAAATAAACTTTGTTGGTTTTCTCACCACCACAGGCTATGTCTAATTCTATGTTCATCACTCACAAGAACCTACGAACCCATACTGAGTCCATGGTAACATCTTGACAAGTGTAGCCAGCAGGTAAGGCCCCTTTTGATGGATTTTATATTTCTTCTTTACTGTTTCCCATTTTCACATCCTTGGTTGCTCATGGCTGCACGGGTCAGATAGTTAAATGTCTCTAGACCATGTGCTCTGGGAACAAAACACCCCTGATAGAATAATCTGGCCATGGAATGGAGAATTTTAGCCTCACTGGAAGCAAGAAAACTCCCACATGGTCTGCAGGTTTGTTTGTGTGACCTCTCTTACCACAAAACCCTGCAGCCTTGTCTAGGGCCTGGAGTCTCCTAAGCCCCTAGAAAAATTATTTCTTGTACATAAGAGCATTGGAAATCATGAGACACTTGTTTCATCTAACCAGAAATGAGAGGAGGTCTCAGAAGGCATTCTTTAGGACGTATACCAGGGTCACCAGGTTTTCTTTTACATAGGCACCACAACACAGGCAACACACAACAATGGAGCTCTGAAAATCTTGCTTATCCAGGAAGATTCAAGATAAAGATGAGGCCCCACCCAGTATCCTGAGTTTTTCATCTAGCCATGGAAACCCAATCCAGCAACAGTGGAGAAAACCAATTTCCAGGTCACAACAGAGAAACTGATCTCCAAAACTTGCATGCACACTGCAGATCCCAAACATTTTAGCCTAGGAGAAGGTCTTCTAAACTATTCTTTTGATCTCTCTTCCTCTCCCTCTCCCTCCTCTTCCCTCTGTAATTGTCTATGCTTTTTCTTTTGGAGTTGTCCTTCGGGTGATAACTGACGTATCTATGGGTTCAAACCAATGAGGAAGGCACAGGTTTTGTTTTTTTTGTTTTTTTTGTTTTTTTTTTCTTTCCCTCATCTCTCCTCTAAGAAAGTCCCTAACCCCTTCCTGACCCTTTTCTCTCATCAGGCTTTCATCTGTCAGGAAACTCAAATCCCTTACCTTTGTGTTGATATTAGTTATCAGGCAGAGGAAGAGAACTGGAGGGTGGGGGAGTTATTGCCTCCTGTCATGAGCAAGAGAAGGGACTCCATCTTTAAAGGACCTTTTAAAAAACCTGACAGATAATACCTTACTTCTCATTGTGAAGTCTTCCTTAGAAGGATCTCCAGTTAAAGAAGTTCTGTCAGCTTGAAGTGAGAATGTCAATGAATTCTTTATAGAGAATAAAGAATCACTAAAGTACGGAGGGAAGCCGTTGAATCAAGTTCTTTTCTCAAAGGCAGAAAAACATGCCCACCTTCAGCAGAGGTGCCTTGGTCATCTAAAGAGTCTATGAAACAAGGAACTTCACAGCAGTAGTGGAGACTCAGACTGTGGCGACAGTACATTTGGCATTTACACAAAAGTGTAAGAGCGAAGGATGCACACTGTTAAAATGCTCCTTCATTCTCAAAGTCAGAAATGTATTTTTTTGCTATATGTTTGATTTTTTATAGAAAATTGAAACTCATTGCACATAAAGGGAAAAATGCATTGTATCACAATGGGAAAACTCCTGGGAAGACATGGCTGAGGTCAACAGTTTCCTAGTATCACACACGCTCGTTCCATTTAACCATGCATGACAATACTTTTCAGATCCACACTGATTCCTAGGGGCCACAGTTTGGATTTTAATGTTCTGCAAAGGCTCAAATATAGGATGCATATTTCCAGGCATGTGTTACTGGAAGATGTGTTATGATCGAAACATGTCAAATTAATAAGTCTAGAAGCTTAATTAAGTTACTTAGCAGTTCTACATCCTAGAGTATAGAGGACATGCCCTTAGCACTCTAGGATGTTGTTCGTTGTGTCAATTTGAGAACTTTAAAAATTTAACTAACTGATGCAGCAAGGTCCAGGTCTGTCCTTTGCAAACATTCTTAGCCTGCAAAAGAGGAGGGCACAGAGGTAGTGTGGGTGCTACCCCCATCTGAGGGCAGGAAGCCTGCATACAGTACAAGGGAGGAAAACAAGCTTGCTTACTCCTTTTGCTCTCGGTGCTTTTGTTGTCTTCTGCCTCCTTGAATGGTTGCCCCTCAGCCATGACACCCTGCTTTGGAGCCAACTGATTATGGACTGAAACCTCCACAAACTGTGAGAAAGTTGCAGAGCACCATGTTCCAAAATGGCAGCAGCTGTACCATATTTTAGACAGCACAGAAAAATTGTTCCTCAGAATTAGATTCAGAGTGCCCAATAATCCAGACACTCGATTCCTACAGTCAAGAGAGTGAAAAGCCTGGTTACTGCTCCGGCTGGCAGCAGACCTTGGTATTATCCATGGTGGTGCTGGTTTGGGTGTACACAGAATGTAAGAATTGTGGGTTAAGGTTTCCACCACAATTTTATAAGGCATAAAAGACCAGGAAGTCTGCTCCTGAGAGAGCAATGTGTGAAGCTATGAGAGTGAAGCCAGAGGTGCAGTGGAGACCCCAGAAGTTTGGAAAATCCAGAAACATGGAACATCTATGGAAATCTGCAAGGAGGGAGAAAAAAAGCAAAGAGAGAAGCTTTGGGAGTTACAACCACCAGAAGTGTCATAGGGGACAAGGCCATCTCAGCTCTTTCGGTCTCACAATTTGCTACAGATTACCTCAGATGCTGCACAGAGAACTGTCAGACTTAACGCTTGCCCAGATGTATTTTGGACTTTCTTTGTTCCCAATCCAATTGTATTTGTGACTTTTGGAATGAAAATATTTATCTTGTGCCATTGAATGCTGGATGTGCTTAACTTTTCATTTCTATAGGAGTTTACAGCTAAGAATTTGCCTTACATCTTGGAAGAGACTTAGGACTTGGACTTTTCACCAATGCTGAAAATGTTAGGACTCTGGAAACTCTTAAAAAAAGGACTAAATGCCTTTTGCATAAAAGGATGTGCGTTAGGCTCTGAAGGGGCAAGAGTGAAATGTTATGGTTCTAATGTAATACAATACTGGACTTAGTGCTTATTCTTTGGAAGTGCTATAGTTTTCATCTTCAGTCTGGACTTCGTCTCCTACTTTCTAGTGCAGATTGTTCAGCTTCTGCTTGGCCTCTTCAGCCTTCATTGTAGACTGTTGAGCCTACTGGTATAGATTCTTTAGTCTTCCATCACACACCCACTGACCTCCTGATATGGACTTGCATGGAACACTGCAGTGAGCTCCAGATCTTGGACTGGATCCTTCAGCCTCCAGGGTACAGATATTTTCTGCACGCATCCTCATTCGACTCCGTGGCTGACTATCATAAGCCAAGCATGTAATTTCTTATACCTTTGCATATTTTGTGTTATGTCTCTTTGTCTAGTAAACTCTAACAGATACATGGTGCAAATATGCAGGCAGGGATGGTAATGGCAGGAATATGAGTAACTGGAAGTTACTTTCGAAAGGGACTGTTGGGATTCAGCTTCTTTACAATTCTCTCTCTTTGGGTTCCCAGCTGTATGTGAGTAGCTGTGCTCTTCCACATGAACCTTCAGTGATGCGCTGCCTCACTCAAAGAAAAAGGGCCACCAATCACAGAGCACAGCTCTAATACTGAAAGCTATAATAAAACTTTTCTTTATAAGGTTATTTTCTCATGTATTTGTGGTTATAACACAAGGCTCACAACACACAAAATTTGTACACAAATAGACATATTACATGAGGATTCTAATTTACCGTGAGGTAATTGTAGATCAAGACTCTTGTCATTAAAGTCTGACTTTTTAAACTCTCAAATTTACATTTTTTCTCTTATTAGTCACTGTAAATATTCTCAAAAGGCAGGTAATTTAAAAGCTGGTTATATTTTGTGAGACAATATTCTTAATAAATTATTAATAATTTTCTTATGATGAATAACTGTTTTGGCTCAATGAAGTTATACCATTGCTGTTAGAGAGATTTTCTCCCAACTATGATAACCCCAGTTTACACTGTTTCTCCCAACTATGATAACCCCAGTTTACACTGTTACAATGTACATCTCTTTCTATCCGCACAGGTCTCCTAGATCTCTTGTCTAGAAATGTCTCTACGTTTATGCAGATATATATATATATATATATATATATATATATATATATGCAGATATATACATGTATATATATGGTTAGCCTAACTTCCTATTTTCTTTCTTGATCCAATTTTTCATAAGTAATTCATTCAACAATAACAATATGTACTATTCTGTGAGAATCCAAAAATAAGTCATGTAGGGATACTTCTCTTAATGAAACAGTCCTGTTTCCATTCCCTCCACATTCCACCCTCAATTTGATGAGGAACAGTTTCAAACATTGTCACAAATGTTTTTCAGTTTTCTGTTGCTTTTCCTAATGACACAAGTTGCTGTGTTGCCTCTAACATTTTTCATAACTAATAGTTAGATATGTTTACTGAATACATTATCTTTGACTTTCACTCATAAACTTTTCTATCCATTCTCATACTAGATATATAAAGTAAATCAACTGGTTCTATTTTTATAGGAGTAACAATCATTTAAACAAGTTGTTTTTGCAAGAGGACAAGTAAGAAAGCAAATTTAGGGTACCTATTTTGACTGTGTGACTCTGATGTTCAGGGATTGCTTACTACATGTTTCTTTATGACTTTATTATACTGTCAGTAATGCAGTCCTCCTTCTCCATTCATTGCCTCTGCTATATGAAGTTGTATTCTGTTTTATGGATTTAACGTGGAACATGTGTTCAATAATTATTTATTTTTAGCCAATAAAATATAGCTTGAATCTTTGAAGTAATGTTTTCCATTAAATATTTATTAACTCATTTTTGGAAAAAAAAATATATATACATATACTTATATTATCTCTTTACTTTCATTTTTGATTGCAGTTATCAGTAATGAAGAAAATATTCACAGTATGACTGAGGACATACAGAAATTCTGTAATTTAATGAATTGATGAAACTGAAAATATATTTAGCATCAATATTTCACAGTACATTCAGCAGTGTCTAGTAATTTCCTAAATATAATAAAGTTTAAATAATCAACATGTATTACCACAAGTTCACACTTCTTCCTGGTAAATATTGTATTCTCCTACTATACAGGGAGAATAGACTAAATAAATTCTTTATTATGAAGTTGACAACTATTGCTGGCTCATCTAAACAAAATCAACAAGTTCTTTATTCCAGAATATAATGACTCATCTTAAAAAGGTACATCAATTAGCATCTGTCGAAATTGTAGGTGTACAAATTAATAGGTAATGCAATATAACATCAAATTATCATTTATTTTGATTAATTTGCTTGCAAATTAATTTCATATCATCAAGACAATCAACTACTACTGTACAGCTTTTCTTCAACTGAAAGAATAGAGTTTGAATTGAAGTTTTAAAATGTGTTTTTTGTTCTAAATATTTGGTTTTCTGAATGAGTAAAAAACAAAATTTGACTTTTAATGGTTAGCAGTTTTAAGTTAGGTTACCATTTGACTAGGTATATACTTATTAATTATGTGTGAGTGAAATAAGTAGATTAAGGTAATTGTTTAATTAAGATATTTCTGTCTTTCACTTTACTGATTTAAAATAAAATTCATGTTTGGGAATAACTTACTCATTTCATGTATCAGTGAAATTCATAAGTATAAAAGTGTGAAACCTCGATTAAAAATGTCAGCATTTCACATTTCCATTTCTAATTCCTAAGCCTATATGTTAGAAACCATGTGTTTTCAAAGGTGTTAGGAGGTTTTTTTTTTTTTTTTTTTTTTTAAATCCGGGGATCGAACTCACGACCGCGGGCTTGCAAGGCAGGTGCTCATGCCGCTGAGCTAAATCCCCAGTCCCAAGTTTCATTTTCTATACTACTTTCATTACAGAAGACAAAAGCTCTAACTTTCCTGTTGCACAAATTCCATTTCTCTCTCACCGTGATCAACATTTACAAGTTTTGGAAATACTCGTTTCCATTTTTCCAGTCAATGAATGTAAACACTGGTCTTCAGAGAAAGAATGCGTCTACCCGTCAGCTTACTCACAACTTCAGTTCTCACTTTTGAAATCAAATAATAGTACAATGTGTAGATTGTATTTATATAACGTTGCTTTTAATTCACACCTGTGCAGAGGGTTTCTTCTGAAAATGCCATAGCAACATCTTTATGGTCCCACATTAGAGAAAGATCAAGATTGATTCTTACCTAGTCTTCTCTTGCAAGCCATGCTATATTATAATTCCATGGTTGGTGCAACAATGCAGGGTGATGCTACACCAAGAAGTACCAGGCATGAGTAAGTAGTGCTAATGAAGTGTGATAAAGATGTTGGATTAAATTTTACAACTCTAATGTAGAGGAAGCTACCAGAAAACTCAGCAAGTACTGAAGAGAGATGATTGCAAAGGAACCTGAGATATTTACCCATAAGTGTGCCTTGGGCTAGAGACTGCAGAATCACTAGGCAGGCACTGTAAAATACTCAGAAAATGATAAACTTCTGACACATACACATTTACCAATCATATAAAAGAAATATGCAGGCTTTAAAAACTTTTCTAAAGAAAAAGAATAAACTTTTCCTCAATATCTTTGATTGCAAATTGATCTTACATGTAAAAACGTGGCCTTTGTTCTGGCAATAAGAACTAGATTTGTAGACACATGGAAGAACAGTGAGAAAAACACAGATATTGGAAAGAAAACTTGTCTAAATTATCCAAAAGAGTACATCTATTTTACAAGTTCAAAGATAGCTACTTAATAATTGCTGAATCCCTCAATCTGTAAAAAGAAACACATTCAACATTTACTCATGTTTAGTTGTCAGAAAATAATGGGAAACATAAAAAATGAGATTTTTTTTCTCTTAGATATTGCAAAGAATCAGAACTTGTTTTATTATTTTTATTTGTGCAGGTATCTCAACTGTATTTATGCAATTTTTCTGAAAAATCTTTTGGACCAGAATTTATGACTTTCCTCTAACTAGGAACTAACTCAGTAATTGTAACTCATTTTCTTGTCAGTCTCTAAGTAAAACAGTGCAGAAGACTGAGCAAAGAATTGCAACAATTTGTTTATTTAGAAGTCTCCAATTTTCATATGGAGGGCCTAGATATCTAAGCAAAAGATTGTCTTCTATTTTTGCTTGTTTTTTCCTTGATCAATGCTGTATAATTTTCCAAAATCAGTAATTTTTATGCTATCATAAGTCCTTCTTAATACTTCTGTTTCTATTCATTAATTGTTTTAGCACACACAAGTAAGAAACTTCTGAATTTAAATTCTAAAATGTGTGAAAACAATAAAGATTCTAGTCAAAACACTACATGCCACCTTACACTTTTTTTATATATTCCTGTTAAATAATGAATTGCCTTCCCTAAATCCAAACTTTTACCACAGAAACTAAGTCAAATTTCAATTATTTAGCAAATATGTTGAAACTTCTTTGTGCATTTTTGGAGTGACTCAGAATTATAATGCAGAATACAGATTAACCTACCAGGAATAACTCACATAGAAGCATTTCCCAACCCACCACTAAGAATGTGAGTCTAGAAATGCTGTTGATTTTCTACCATCTTATTGGGCGCCTATATCATAAATTAGTAAACCTCAAAGTATTGGATGTTCGGCAGAAGGATTCATCTATCTAAGTAGAGAGTTGACCTAAAGATACAGTGTTGCCCCTAAATTGATATATACTGTATGATTGGAACATAGAGGCTTCATGCTCCTCAATGCTATTAGTAAATTAGAAGTTAATTGCATTTTTATTTACTTTTGGAATAAAGGAAAAGTAAAGAAATACAAGACCACTGAAAACTGCCTCTAAAAATGGAAATGCATGTTCTGCTTTTGTGTATGTGCATGTTCTCAGCACTAGTACAATTTTTGAAAAATATTTTTCTGTCACTCTCATATAATTGTTTTTGGTTTTCAACAAGTTGAGATTATCACAGTACTTTTATAGGAAGGATGGCATTGTTAACCTGAAGACAGAAATAAATGCTTCACATGGTGATTCACTACTATAACTGAGAATAATTTCTTGAGACTGATTGTATTAAAGTACAATTTCTTTGTTATAAAAAACAATCTACTTCCTAAAAAATGTTCTTGCTTTCAAAAAAGTCAAGATCATATAAATTTTATATTTTTACATTAAAATGACCCAGGAGAAAATAATAGATGAACAATTGACACAGAAACATACAAACAAAAACTATCTAAAATTTGATTTCTAAGACACCTCGGATAAAATCATTGGGACAATGTTTTCTATTTTGAACAGATGTTCCACACCTTTTCCAAGGACTGAACAGATTTTTATACTCACTTGGTCTATTTATGTGACTTGGATTTTCTTCAAATTTCTATTGAATGACTTCCTTTGAATGAAAAAGGACATTTGATTTTGCCAATGCCATGGGCATCAGTATGGATATACCTTTGTTCATCAAAAGACAAACTCCTTTACTTAGCTAGGGAACAATTTTTGTTTTTACTTTTTGTCTTTTAAAGACAGGGTTTTCCTGTGCAGTTCAGGCAGCCCTGGAATTCGCTTTGTAACCCAAACTGGCCTTGAACTCCCAGTAATCCTCCTACCTCAGTCTCCTGAGTGCTGGGATTATAGGCATGAAACATCAACGCCCACCCTGGGGAACAGTATATCAGAACCTGTGTATCAGAAGTCAATTTTTGCTAATTTTCCTAAGCAGTATACTAGGTTTCCTACAGAATAATTTCTGACAGTGATTTGTGGCAAATCCTACTTTAATATTATTATTATTATTATTATGCATTTATTCAGTGTTTGACACAAAACCCACCTTTGGGCTAACATGTTGCCATTCCTAACTCCTAACTATGTGTTTTAAAAATCCTTACACTTCACTCAGCAAAAAATCTTAAAATTGTAAAAATTTACTTGCACATCTACTCAGGAATTTTTAATCTAGCAAATCTTAAGAATTACAGATATGTTATTCAGAATTTTTCTCATGTTAGTTCTCCCAAAGCTTGACTCATATAAGTATTTTTAAAAACTGAAATTAACAGTATTTCATCACTCTACATAGTTAGCAAGCTTTACTAATTTTTTGTTTACTTTTTTTCCAGCTCTGGGATTAAACTGAGGGCTTTGTATAAGCTAGGCAAGTGTACCACTGAGCTATATCTCCAGCCTTTATTAGTTTTGTTTTGTTTTGTTTTTGTTTTTTTGTACCTGGAATAGAACTCAGGATCTCACATTTGCCAGGCAGATGCTGTACCACTGAGCTGTATCTTTGTCCTATTAGCTCATTTTTAACAATATTGCAGACTCAGTTTATCATGCCCACACAGTTTATTGTACACTAGCATTCTGTTTTGTTCAAGTATCTGTCATTATCTATGACAATAGTAATAATAATGACTATATTGTCACGTGGCAGATTGGGGTAAGTATTTACACTATTTAAATGTAGAAAAAAAAACACTTAAGGTTTGCACTCTTCAAAATTTCTGCATTCCCTTTGATTAACCACATCAGGTGTGTTAGCCACTTTCTCACATCTAAAACACAATACCTGAAGCCTAGAATTTAAAGATCAAGATTAATTGGGAGTCATATTTCACTCTAAAGTTGGCTGGAACCAAGGAATTGTGGGCACTGTTAAGAAAGCAGCGAGTGAGGGGTGCAGTCAGAGATGGAGATATCCCCTCCAGATCTGGCCTCTGGCTGCCTCTTACAACCCTGCCCCACCTTCAACATCAAGCCAGCTGCAGAACCTATGTACAACTCAGTCACTTTCCAGAGCCCTGGCCCTGAGTGCGTGGGGCTTTGGAGCGGCATCCAGACATAAATCAAAACACCAGGATTTTGAGCATAAAGTTCAGGTTATGAATCTGATAGGAATGTGTTCTGCAGCACTGTCAGTGTCAATACTCACACAAGTTATTATTTTTTACTGTTGGCTCCAACTTCTGAAGAGACATGGGAGTTTCTGTGGCATTGAAAAGAAGTAGGTAACAGCATTTTCTGTTGAGCACTGGGAGACTAAATGATGATGGTGGGCCAGAAGGATATGCCAGGATTTTGGTCATGAAATACGGTGAACACTTTGGGGAAGAGTGTTAAGTACAGAAAATAGGGAAAGTCAAATTTCAGCTTCACAGTAGGTACGACTGATAACAGGCAGACTGTGTGTAATTGTGTACTATGGCCAGTCAGAAAGGAGAAAGACAAGAATATAAAACAGTGATATCATAGCTTTGGCTTTCTAACAGTTAACTGAACATTTTGTTAGTGAAAAATCCGAAAGGAGAGTCATTTAAAACCAGCCCTTTCGGGTTGCACCAAGTAACTGTGCACCACTGTTCCCAATTAGTTTAGTGTTTACCTAAAGTGCCCTCATTTATATTTATGCACACTTGTGTAATATTCAGAGTCACAGAACCATAATCTTCCTCACCCCATCTTACCAAGAGGATTTCAAAGAACAGAAACAAAAACCAAAAGAAAAGCAAAAACAAAACAAACTAAAGAATTCCCCCATTACAATCAGATCACCTCTTATTCTGAGATATGCTAGACTATTTATTCCAAAATGATAGAAATAAACTAATGAGATTGTTAAAGTAGGTTCTTGTCATCCAAGGAAGACTTGGAAATAAATCAGTAACAACGAATTTAATTATACTTATT